GATGTATCTCAAAGTGTTTCACAAGAACAATTTGCATGTTTAAAAGGTTTGTTTGTGATAGAAAATTGTTTTTTTTTGACTTTCAAAATTGATTCAAATAGATAGTAGCTATAAATTTGTTATTGTTCGTGCTTATCGAAGTGTTGGAGTTGTTGATACAAATAGTGCACAAACAATAAAAAATGCTCGAGCTGCTGGATTAAATAATGTTGATGCTTATTTGTTTCCATGTATTCGATGTGGTGATGCATCTCAACAAGTAATAATAAGTAACTTCGATGTTTTTTCTTTTGCTAATATCATTTTCTTTAGGTTATTGAAACTATCGATTATTTAAGAGAAGAAGGAGCTCGAATCGATAGACTTTGGTTAGATATTGAAGGAAAATGGAATAATGATACAGATATAAATATTCAATTTGTTGATGAATTAATCAAACAAATAATTATTTTAGATGTTAAATATGGAATTTATACATCAAGATATCAATGGATTTCAATTATGAATAATACTACAAAATTTTCATCGAATACTCCTTTATGGTATGCTCATTATGATGATGATCAATCATTTCATGATTTTCAATTATTTGGTGGATGGAAACAACCATCAATAAAACAATTTATTGGTGATGTTAAAGAGTGTGGAGTAGTACTTGATAAAAATTTTTCTTCATAGTATCGATGAATAAAATACAAAAAAAATTTTTTTTTTTGGTACTTATCCAATGTTTAGTTTTGGTATTAAGTACCGTTGGCAATATGATCTCGAATTTAATTCCATTATTGATATTTCGTTTGTTGTCTATTTATTTCTCATATTACATACTTGACCGTAGATATTTTTTTTTCTCTCTCTCTCTCCTTTATCACATATTTTATTACCTTTTAATTTATACACGGAAAGATTTTCGTTATATTTTTGGATATTATTTCGAAACTTAGTTTAATTATTGATTCATTTTTTGAAGCATGTCGTTTTTTTTGTAATACTAAAAAGTCTATTGTTTATTATCAACTGAAACAAAACATAATAAACTGGTGTACAATTGGAAAACACTGCATACATGCCGTATATTATACAGAGAAATATGATCATAATATCTAGACATGTGACACGCCAATATACAATGATTGAAGAGCGTTTTTCTTCGACCTGGGCGGAGTTTTGGTTCGCTACCATGATAATTTAATTTGAAATGAATATTTATTTATGTCTATTGATATTTCTTGTAACAAGATACAAATATGACAAGTTTTCAAAATATAGATTGATACACAGATCAAACAGACTCAGTCATAAATGATCGTGTACAATAAAATATGATGATTCACATGGTTCAGTACATTATCATAAAAAAAAGAAGCGTAAAATATTAAATCTTCTTGAGTGAAATAAGAGACAGTCGAAAAGGATAGTTATAGGTGTTTTTTTCACTATTTGGCAGATGCAGTATTACAATTGTATTTCACTATATTGTAAACGATCAAATATTCGTGTGTGCGATGCAATAAAATACACTCGTAATACTGAGAATACTAGCTTGGAGCAACTATGAAAATATCAAGACACTAAGAAATCTTCAAAGCTGAAGAGTAGTATAAAACTGTACTTGTAGCTCATTTAATCTTCTTATGGATAATAGTGTTCTTTACAAATTGAGAAGTCTTTCAGTTGTGTTTAATAATGATTTTAAATGACAATGCATAGACTATACTTATTAATTTATGTAAACAAATTATTTCTTTACTGTCGAAAATCAGTTAAAAGAAACCCATATTTGATTCAACATCAAATATTATGAGTCATTAGATGAGAAGTTTTGAAAGAGTTCTTCCTTTGCTCTTAGTATTAGTGTAGTATATAAAAAGTGACAGACGAAAAATAAGGTTGCTACTATTAGAAACTGCAACAATCATATGAGTTTCATATTATGCATAATTGTAGAACTGTAGTAATAAACTTTTCTCGAAAGTAATAGTTGGTTAGTTTATTTATTAAACTGACTACTTTTCACTGCATCTTTACGACTTAGGTCCAAAATTTCGACTAGCTGATTCAGTTCGGTCAAAAAAAAAATGTTATTCATTCCAAGTATCGTATAATGTTAAGGATACAGTTTATAAGAATATAAATGTAATGGTAGACATAAAACTTGATAGTTAAACGGATATAAGTATAAATGTATAGTGTTAAGGGTATAATTATAAGCGTATAGATATTCAAATAGAGCCATAAGATTATTCATACATCAGTGTGGGCATTTAGATATTGTTGTGAAGGAAGTGGTGTGGCATAAATGTATAAACTCATAGTTTTTAAAATATAGAATGTGACTTTATTGATTGATGAGGCCTTGATTCATCATGATTTTTTTTACGATAAATTACCAAGAATGATGATTATGGTCGCCAAGACAACCAAAAATGGTAATGTATACTGTCACTTCATGCATTTCGTAGTCGTCAATAACTGTATATTGACATTTTGTAGACAGGTTTATAATCGTATTTTATTGTATTGCACAAAGTCGATAACAGAAGTTAAATAGTCTGAAAATCGAGTATTCAACTGTTTATGATCGTTTACCATACGATGATTTACGGTCGCAATACTGCGCCTATCAAATGACTATTTACGATCGTTTTTGTTGGTTCTGGATAGCCGAACGAGTGATTTATGGTTCGTTTACGATTGTATACGAAGAAATACGAAACATGCATCACGTATACGGACTCGTATTCATTAATTTTGGTATATATACATTTTGTAAACAGCCAAAAATATCAATATATTAAGAGAGATTTCGTCGAAATTACCCAAAATTTTTCTTTCTTTGTAACAGTTCGATAAAAATAACAAGATTCATGATTTTGTGGAAGCTAAAAGATGTATAATTATTTCAAGAAATATTTGTTGTAATTGATTAATATCTCAACAAGTTGAAGAACTTTATCAATGCATGAACGAGTTTATGTTCTTTTGTTGATAATATATATTGTTTGAATTCGGATAGATCAATTAATTAATGAATTAGCTTACTAGAACAATTAAAATTTGTATGCATATACATGAATGAAATGATCCAGAGTTACTTTATAGAATGAATTCTCACTAAATCTTATAAAAATCTATATAGAAGACAACTCTTTAACTGAATTCATGTGTTTGACTATGTAATTCAAAGTATTCGAAAAACAGATCTCCCAGAAAACAAATACGAAATGTGGACTATGACATTGCATTGCATCTGTTAAACTATTTGTTAATCAAAGTAACTTCAATCTGATATTGGACAGCTCCATATCAGAGAAGCTGTATTGGATGTCCTATGTGTATAATGCTCGATAATTACATACGATGATTGGCTTTTAGATGGGAAATGCTTGTGCCAATGCTTGTATTCAGACATTTTTTGGCTTTCCTATTTTACTTCACTTGAATGTTATTTACTTTTTTGCCTTCCTCTTCTTTGTATTCTTCATAAAAAGTTTAACATTTTACCTTTAATGAGTTATTCTAGATTTCTTTTCACCTAGCTATGTGATCTTAATAAAGAATATACTTAGGTCTTGTTTGAATTTCTGACCGAGATGAAAAAAAACTGGGTTGTACGACCCATCTTATCTATTTTTCATCTAAATCGATAATACGCTGCGGTTCTCGAATAGCAAGCGGTCTCAGTGGTATAGTTTTTGATCACTAATTTTCTACTGATCTTTCTATTAAACTGAACTTATCTTTCACTGAAATAACGATTTAAATTCGAAAAAAAAGTGATTTTAATAAGCTTGAGTATATGAAGTTAGGTGGTAGAATAATTTTCTGTAGCAGTTCATTTTTCTCACTGATAACAATTTTTGTAGCTCTTTCGTTGATAAATAATCAAAGTCATGAACTGAACTAAGTGAAAACAGCTAATGAAATTAGTCCCAATAGCTTAAGAGCGGTCACAATAACGACGAAGTGCGATTAAGCATGAAATCTGAGACTTTATCAGGGTTTTAAAATATTCATTCAGTGAGATATAGGAAAAACCTGAAATAGCAGAACTATAGTTAACTGACAGCTTTCAGTAGGTTATCACGACATAGTGAGTAACATGTCTGTTCTTTGACGTCAACAATCCATGCAAGTAAAGGATAGTACCGTATTCGATATTTTCTTGTCTGAATTCGTGTTTTCTGACTTGTATTGACTCTCTACTTGGTTTCTATAGCTATGAATTTTATTCTATCAAATAGTGCCAATGTCAATAAGGTTCATACGTCAAAAAAATGATGTTCTAGCCCAACATACTAGGCTTTGAACCTTGTGCTGACAGTAAGCCTGTATAAGATCCGTTCGACACTTTAGTTGCTTTGCTTGTTGCAGAACTCAATTCTCTTTAGAATAGTATTTATAAAAACATGATTCATTAGATGAAAATGTGTTTTCGAGTTATCTTAACTGTAAGTGCGAAATGCATGTTTATGCCATAAACTTAACAAATATTGGTATTGAAAACCCTATTGAGAGTTAATGAATGTTGAAATTCAATTTATTGGCAAGGTATCGTTATCTTGTAAGAAAGCTTTGAACCGAAGACAAATTTTTTGTTCGTACACTTCTGTTGAATACTTTTACTGAGTAATCATGAGAAAAACTTTATTATGCTCATAAAATTCGTGGTATAAAATTTACTGTATCTGACTTTCAAGAGACGGAGACGCTTGATTCATTAACCAGTTCTAATTTATAATTAATACTTATGATGCTAAAAATTGTACGAAAGTATATTATCCGCGAATCTTTTCGAAAGTTCGAATAAAAAAAATACTAAGGTGCAAAGTGGTGATAGTCTCGTTGAGTGATTTTATCCAAATGATTTTGTAAAGAGCTAGGATGTAAATGTTGCTGTGATTGTTTATGTTTTATTTTCATTCACAACCTCACTCGCACCATTTTATGAAATTCTTAGAGATGATGACATGACATGAATTCAAATATTTTTTTTGCCATTATTTATTAAATCGATTTTCTAGCAATATAAAAATCAATAAACATAAAACATATAATAAATTTTGAAAATTAATTATATGTAATCGAAATGCTCTGCTATACGTTTGTGCAACTACAGTATAAATGTAAACAGGTGTTGTATCAATACATCGAATTAATGTACTTGATGCATTATAAGTCGTAATTGGATCACAAGGTAAATTTTGTTGTATCGCATTTATAGTTGTATTTACTTCTTGAGTATTAACTGGACGTCGCGATGGATTTGTTTCTATATAAGATAATAAAAAAGAGTAATGAATTGTATTTAATAATAAATTTTACCTGGTAAAAATCCAAGTAGAATAAAAATTCCAATAAGGAATCCCAATGATAAAAGTAAACATGTAAGCCAACAACAACATGGACAACTATAATACCATTCACAAAAATTACAATGTGGACAACGACGAGCACATTTTCCATGACACCATTTACAAAATTTATAAGATTTTGGTTTATATGTCTAATCAAAAAAAAAAAAAGTGAAGATATTATTTCTCTTTTTTTTTTTTTTTGTTTAGATAAAAACTTACACCATCAGCAAATGCTTCTTCATAATAATCTTCATCAGATATATAAACATCACGTTCAACATCAAGTGGAATAGTTTTATCTCGTTTTTTCCATTGTTTTCTTGGTGATGTACCACGATTAACAAGTGGAGTTTCAGATACAATAGCAACTGGTGTTTCAGCAAGTGTACGACGATTTTTCTTAGTAATAGGTACAATTACATCAGTATTGGAATCAGTATTTGTCGAAGTCGTAGCTATACGAACAATACGTGGTTCTTGTTGTCGTTGTTTTACTAATGAAACTGGTTGTGGAGATGATATTGATGAAGCTGAATCAGATTCTGTTGAAATTGGACTTCGTTCTCTAATAATACGTGTTGTTCTTGTATGAGGATAATAACGTTTAATATATGTAGTTGGTTTTGGAGATTTTACTTCAACAATACGTACAGTTGATGTTGGAGGTGTTGATTGACGTCGTCGAGATACATAAATTTTTGAATCAGGTGATGGAGATCGAACATGTGGAATTGATATATGATTATCGTAACCACGTGTATGTTTTTGATATACAGGTACTCGATAAACATGTAATGCTCGACCATCAGTAGTACTACTCGAAGATGCAGACATTGGATTTTATTTTAATAAGAAATACTCTAAAATAGAGAAATAAAAACTCTAAGCTGAATCGCTGACTCTACTACTAATTGTCGTGTCAAAAATCTTATACTAAAATGTACTATAAGATCATAGGAAATCTTATGTAACAGTAAAATCATTCGAGAATCTTAAAGTATTTATAATTCTATTCATCTATCTTCTGACTTTGATTTATATTACCTATCAACCATATAAATCAATTTTTTTTTCTGTAACTATACAAATCGACAATGGCAAACTCTTCAGACAGTAACTATACTATTATATATTAATATGAAGATATTTTTGTAATAAAATAAATCATTTGATCTCCTGCTGACTTTCTTTATTCCTTTTTTTTTTTATATATTTCGGAACAGAACAATTAAAAAAGAAAAAGAATTTCATCGCAAAATAGTTGCATGATGTTTTTAAACGTTTAACTAAAATATGATTTTTTTCTTTTTCATTGAAGTTTACTTTCAACAGTGCTAAACAACGTGAACAATCAAGAATTTTCTGACTAAATCTTTCTTTATGGTTATACAATAATAATAAAAATAGCTTTTCTTTTTGTAACTTTATTTTTTAATCCGTGTATAATTTGTCATAGAGAATCGATTTCTAATTAAACTTATAAACTATTTAAAAAAATATATTTCGTAACAAATATTTATACATAATGTTTCAGAATAATTGAGGATTCCGATATTAATAAAAATCTTATGAATTGATTAACGTCATAAAAATCTTACAATTATTAGTTTGTTAAGAAATGAAAACTTCGTAATGAAATAAGACATGAAATCAACGTTTGTATTTGTTTCTACATTTAATGTAGTGGTTAACGACATTTTTTACGATTTAGTGACACATCTAGAAATCGTATATTTTAAATATGTAAATAATTGATATTAAAAGATAGAACTACTTTTGAAAGTATCTAATATTTCTGATTTATGCCAATTTTCTATAGTATCTATGTTGCCAATTAAATTATACAGAATTTATTAACAAGTAAAAAACATTAAACAGATAATTTCTGTTGATTTTGTATTTGACACCAGATCTCGCAATGAACCGGCAATTCGATCTTTATTTTCTTTTTTTTTTTTTGAAGGAAGATTTTTCAAGTAAGAAAACAGTAAAAAAAATCTGATTTTTTTGTTTGTCAAAATTTTCTGTACACGTTTTTCATCTCGCAACTCACAGCGTTTAGGAATCTTATTATACGAACGTTTTGAAAGTTTCATTTATTTAATTAATGAATCAAAGGAGAACATTTATACAATTTAATGACATTTCTGATCCATACGTAAGGCTAAGTCTACTATTAATTACATTAAGTGGTATGAATGTTGTTACTGAAGTGAAACAGTTGAAATTAAAAATAGTAAACGATCTGACTCATTGAAATTGATTGTTAAGTATATTACTCATGAAAGCTTATAGTAATAAATTATAATCTTCAAGAAGCTAAAATATCCACTAACATATTTTGCCCTTTCAATTCAATAAGTAATTCACCTTATCCCTCATGTTATTTTTCAAGCATTAGAATAGTTCGATCTTATTTAACTTGTAATCAGTATGATAATAAACTTTTATAATGTTCTAATAAATAAATGCAATAATTGTAGCCTTTCATCTTGTAATGCTATTCTGAAATGAGTCGAGCCATCAAAAAATGATCTGATTAATATTCATCAGAGTCATAAAGATCAATTGTTTTGTTAATACTCTTCGTTAGTAAGATATTTGAAATTTAGTTTAACTTATATTATGATGTGCTTGTAAATAAATTTCTTTAAAAAACAAAACACCTTTAAAAGATTAAGAGAATCTATTTTATTACTGAATACATACAATAAATTATTATTGTAATTTCTACTTATACATATTGTTAGTTTATAAGAAGAAAATTCATTTTAAAAACAAAATAAATAAATAAATATTAGAATTAAAATAAGAATAACATTTAGTTGAAAACTAAAATAAAATCGTCGAGGTTTATGTCCTGTTTCAGCAATTATTTTTCGTTCATCATGTATATCTTTAAGACGTTCAGGACGATATACTCCAAAATATTCTGATATCCAATTACTAGTTCTATGTAATGCTAAACCCATATCATTCAAATAAATATCTAGTGGTGCTATCCAATAATATTTATAATCATGTTCACTTCGATTAAATAATTTTTTAATAAATATATTATGTGTTTTAATTTCTTCATACATTTGTTCTTCAGAATTTGGTAATTTAAGTCGTTTAAGAAAATAATCTGATACCCAATGACTGGTTACTTCAGCAATCATCCAATAACCTACAGATGATATAAAACCAATAAATGCTATATTAGGTATTCCAACAGGTATAATTCGACGATAAAGATTAAGTGTAATATCTTCATTACATGTTGTTAAACCCATCATTTTAATATGTTCTTTAGAAAAAAATGGAAATCGTAGAATATGTCCTGTTGCTGATATAATCATATCAGCTTGTAATTTTTCTCCTGAATCTAAACGAACTGTTGTTTCATCAATAATTTCATCAATTATACCTAATTTTCCAATAATACGATTTTCATGTTTAAGTCGAATAAAATCATTAGGTATAACTGAAATATTTTCTAAATTTCTATATGAATATTGAGGAATAAATATCTTATCATCAAATAGATCAGAACCATGAATAGATATTATATCATTTGATATATTATTACACATTATTGTAAATATTTTTGGAAATTTTTCATGAAGAAAACGAAATAAATTTCCATATGGTGCATTAGGAACTAGAATAAATGGAATAGAAAATGCACGAGTAAATAATATTCGTATTGGTACTAGACCACCGATAATTTTTCGTGGAAGCATCCAATGAGCTTTTCGAAAAACTAAATAACATAAACGAGCATAGTGACCAGCTAAAACTGCCATATCTGTTGCACATTTACCAGCACCAACTATTATTACACGTTTATTTATTAATTGTTTATGTGATTTAATATCACATGGAGATAAAATTGAACCAACAAATTGATTTTGACCACGATAAATTGGTGTATATGGTTCTGAAAAGAGTCCAGTAGCTACAATAACAAAATCAAATTCATGTGTTTCTTGTTTGCCATTAATTGTTTCAATTTGAATAATCCAAGGAATTTTATCATTTTTTAAATCATTTTTAGAAATTGATATAACTCGAGTTTGAAATCGAATTCGTTCAGTAATATGAAATAGATCAGCATATTTTTGTAAATAATCATGAATATGTTGCCAAGAAGCATATTCTTAAATTAAAAATATATACAAAATCTGATTGCAAAAAAAAAAAATATTTATAAATAATATAAAATTCATTTTTACCTTCTCCATCAAATAGATCAGAAAATTCCATTGTTCCTCCTGGTTGTTGACTATGTAAATTTGCATATGCTATTTTTGAAGACCAAACACCACCTAATTCTTCTTGTTGTTCGAAAAGTATTACATTGAAACCATCATCTAATAATACTTTAGCACATACTAAACCACAAGCGCCGGCACCAATAATAGCTACTGTTTTTGATTTCAACATAGTTTTTTAAATTATATTTAACTATTAAAATCGATAGATTTTCTTTTTTTTTCTATTATATTCAACTGTATAATCAATCAAGCATGTATTGATATTATATTTTAGCCAATATAAATTATATATTTTTCTACGTTCTTTACCATAACAGAAAGGAAAAGTAAGCTGAAACGATATATTATGGTTGAATGCACAAATATAAGTGAGTATATCATGTCTGATAATAAAAACAAAATCGCGCAAAAAAAATGTGTCATGATGATGAATAAGCAAAACAAAATAAGATTCAATCGTGACTAATTATATAATAATGGATGTTAGCACTCTCATTCAATGACGTAGAATGAATGATGTCGTAAGCATATGTTCGTAAGCATTATTGATCATTCAGTATTCTATTGTTAATAAAAAA